TGATTACTACAATACATTCTGAGACGCACAGAAAGGGAAAGATGAAGATGGGATCCCCCTAGCTGGCGTAGTTCAGTGGTTAAAGCATCAGCCTACAGCCTGAAAGGTTCAGGGTTTGATTTCTGATGAAGAACACATGCCCGGGGTTGCTGTAGGGGGCGTGGAGGAAGCAGCCGATCAATGATCTCTCTCCTCATGGATGTTTCTACCTCTCTTCCTCTCCCTTTTCTCTGAAATCAGTAAAAAAAAAAATAAATAAATAAAATTATATATATATATATATATATATAATTTTTTTTTTAAAGAAAGGATCAATAGGCCAGTTCCTGGGAAATCAGAGCTATGAGATTTGATGAGAGGGCCTGAGATCTCTTCCGTGTTCTGAATTCTTGCCACATCGGTGTCTCTACGTCTAGTTTCTTTCCTTCTTGCAGAGCTTGGCAACTTGGGAAATTAACTGGCGTCTCTGCTTCATTGGCTGCCAGGATGCTCAGAGCCGCTGTCCACGGGATTATTAGCAGCTGGATAGAACCATTCCTGACTCCATATTCCTACCTCTGGCCCGAACTTTCTGTCTTAGCTGATATTGAGATGCCGAGGACATCTTCATAAGCCCCATGAAATCCCCTCTTTTTGGAAAAAGAAAGAAAAAGAAGAAGAAAACCCCCTCTTTTGTGGGAACAGGAAGGACTTAAATCAGGGTTATACCCTCACCAAGACCAACATTCTGCAAAGCCTCAGTTTGCTGCCCTGTAAAATGGGCGCATGACTTGCAGGGTTTTGTGTGGGTTTCAGGAGATGCTTCGTTCATGTAAGCTCCCACCCAGTTTCCCATCTCTCTCTCCCCCAGGGCTCTTGTCTTGGCTGCTGGCCCCGGGCAGGCGGTAAGGCAAAGGGCATCTAAAGAAGAGATCACTCTGTCCTCTGCGGGCCCACTGGCTGCTGCTGCTGGAGCCTGGTGCCCGGAGCCCAGCCCCTGCCTGCCTCCCGGAGGCCTGTTGGCCTTCACAACCCTCCGCCTCCCCACTGCAGGCGCCAGAGAGTCCCAGCTGGTTCAGGAAGCCCAGACGCATCTCATAAATAACGAATGTGCCCTGCTGCAGGGTGGCTGCAGCGTGGCCATGGCCGTGTGGGGGAGGGATGGCTGCATTCGATGGAGCCGAGGGAGGCAGGGAGGACTGCACAGAGGCTCAGGCAAGGGATGGTAATGGGGCCAGGGGTGGGGTGGGGGCTCCATGAGGCCAGGGCTTGGATACAGGCTGTTGGGGCTGAATCTCGAATCAGACACCTTCTAGCTATGTCCCTTTAGCCTCAGTTTCTTCATCTACCAAATGGGGATGATAGCAATGCCTGGCACCATGGGGCTGGCATAGCTACCAGGTGCACTGGTGAATAATGGGGATCTTTTTCAATAGAGGGAGTTACACATATGTTGATATCGATGCGATTTGATATGTATGCTATTCTGTTGTATTGCTCCTTCAGGTGACCACTTGTTCTGATCGGCACTTCAAAACGTACGAGGAAGTGGACAATGGGGTCTCGGAATGGTCTGCCTCAAAACAAGAAAAGTTCTCTTGGGATGGTGCCCACAAATGGCCTGAAAGATGGGGGAAATGTGTAGCTTGCGATGGACATTACTTTAAATAAAGCACTTTTGGGTTCTTTCGTTTTAAATTTCATGTTTTCTTTGATTACAAAATCCGAATTTTTAACTGGTTAAAAGCTAATCTGCATTTCTAACCGGTATCTGCATGTTTAACCGTTATAAGTAGCTGTTAACTGGTTAAAAACGGGCACATTGGAACAGGGCTGTGGGCAGGGGAGGGAGAGGCCAGCTGTGCCTTTGCAGCATCTCCTGGCCTGGGTGGGGACCAGACTGGAAGGCCTGAGTGGAAGCAGAGGTCCCTGTAGGGGGTGATGGAGACAGAAGCTCCGGTGGCAATTGGTGGGGTAAGGATGGGTGGGGACAACTTCAAGAGGACACATTCATGGGCTGGGGTGAGGGAGAGAGAGGAGAGGATGGCCCATTGGGGTGTGTGCATCTATAGCGTCTGCTGCAGGCTTCTGTCCCCACCCAGGCTCCCCTCCCCTCCCCTCCCCCCCTCCCTCTGCCAGATCTGAAATCTGAATCACAGGAGATGAGGCGGGAGGCCCGGGAGGGGAGACACCGTGCTGGCGGCTGCAGCCTGAGCTTCCTGCCTTTCCCGGGGCAGCAGCGGGAGAGGCGGGGCGGCTGCACCTGCCGGGCGGCTGGAGGCCGGGCAGCAGGTGCAGGGCGTCTGGAGGGGGCTGCGTGCAGACGGACAGATGGGGAATGGGACGGGGTGGGTGAGAGGGCCGCACGCTCTGCCCCTGCTCTGTTGTCTGGACACAAAAGCCGAGACAAAGCAGCAGCGGGGACGCAGGCGGCGGACACGGAACACGCACAAGCTGGAGACAAAGGACGGGGCCCAGGCAGGCACCAGAGCGCGGGATGCGGCAGGCAGGCTCCCGTGACCTCCTGTCTATCGGCCGTGACCTGGGCTCCGTGAATGGAGCGGTTGGGGGGCCCCAGTGGGCCCCAGACCTCGCCAGCCCCACTGGACTTTTGCTCAAAGGAAAACAGATCACAACTCCACAAAGTTGCTTTTAGATCCTGGGATGGAGACCAGGGTTTGTGTGTTTTGCTTTGTTTTTAATAAAGAATTCTTTATTCCAACACATTTATTTATTTGAAATATTTCTAACATATTTTTTAAATTGATTTCAGAGAGGAAGGGAGAGGGAGAGAGAAACACCAATGATGAGAGAGAATCATTGACTGGCTGCCTCCTGTAAGCCCCCTGCTAGGGGCAGGGCCAGCAACCTGGGCATGTGCCCTTGACCAGAATCGAACCTGGAACCCTTCAGTCTGCAGGCTGATGCTCTATCCACGGGCTGGAGATCAGGTTTGATGATAAAGGCCCCTGGTCTGGGGCCATAGGGGAGGCAACTGATCAAGGTGTCTCTCTCACATGGATGTTTCTCTCTCTCTCTCTCTCTCTCTCTCTCTCTCTCTCTCTCTCTCTCTCTCTCCCCCCCCTCCGCTCCCCTTGCGCTCGCTCTCTCTCCTTCTCCTCTGTCTCCCTCTTCCCTTCCTTCCACTCTGTCTAAAGCAATCAATGGGAAAATATCCTTGGATGAGGATTAACAAACAAACAAACAAACAAACAAACAAGCAAACAGAGCAGGTGTGTGAGTACCCTGGCTTCCTGGACCTCACAGCTCAGGTGTGTCCCACACAGGACGCAGCAGAACTGGGCCCTGGTTACCCACCCGACGTGCTCCTTGCTGAGGCCCGAACCGTGTCCCTCTGAAATGCACATGTCGAAGCCCACACTCCCCACTTCGCCTGGACTTGGCCGAAGGGGTCGTTAAGATTCAATGGGGCCCTAGGGTGGGCCCGTACCCAATAGGCTTGGGGCCCTGGTGAAAAGAGGAAGGGACCCCAGGGGTGTGTAGAGGGGCCACATGAGGACAGTAAGAAGGTGGCCGTCTGCAAGACAAGCAGAGAGGCCTCAGGAGAAACCAACCCTACCGGCACCTTGACAGTGCACTTCTAGCCGCCGGAACTGTGAGGAAATAAGTTCCCGTGAGGCCACCCAGGCTGATCAAATGAATGCACCTGCTCTGGTTTCTTCTCTTCCCCCGTCTCACTGCTCTCCTCCGTCACCAATGCCTCCTGGGATCACGTCCCAGATGAATGACGTGCACGTGGATCCTTTTCCTGCCTGTGCCTCACCCAGGGGGACTGCTGGCCTTCACACATGAAGGGGGGCAGGACACAGGTGAGACTCCGGAGAACACTGGACTCTGTGCTCATCCATGGCCATGATCTTGAACCAGTGGTGTCCCTCCTGGACTGAGGGCGATGGGGCAGACACCAGAGTGACCCCGCAAGGCGGCAGGGTCGTTGTCCAGAGCTGTGCACCCCTCCCAGGGGAAGGGAGGGGGAGGGAGTGGGAGTGCAGACAGGTGTTTAGATCTCTCCCTCCCAAACCTTGGGCTGCTGGGTGGTGTCATAGGCCAAAGACCGTTTGCTTAGGGATCCCTGAAGCTCACGGGAACAGGTGAGGTCACCACCCGGTCCAGCTGAAAGAGGCCAACTTTATTCTGAAGTGGACCTTCAGGCTGATGGGACCTCCTCCCGTTGCCATGACAACCAACACTCCGCTGCCTGGGGTTGTGGGCTCCATCCCCAGTGTGGGGCATGCTGGAGGCAGCTGATCAATGATTCTTGCTCCCTTCATTGATGTTTCTGCCTCTTTCTCCCTCTCCCTTCCTCTTTGACATAAAATAAAATAAAAATAAGAAAGAAAGAAAGGAAGAAAAATCTATAGATGGAAGGAAGGAAAAAAGGAAGGAAGGAAGGAAGGAAGGAAGGAAGGAAGGAAGGAAGGAAGGAAGGAAGGAAAGAAAGACAAAATCTATAGAAGGCCAAGCGATGCGGTGGCAAGAACATGGGCGGGAAGACTCAGACGTAGGTTCAAATCTTGCCTCCACCATAAGCACTGGGCCTTCTAGCGGGGATAACTGAGAGGCACACACCCAGGCTGTGAGGGTGAAGCTGCTGGTGCTCCAGGACCGGTCCTCATACGCCCGGACCCACGGTCCTGCTCCTCGGGTCCGGGGTCCCACACCAAACGGGCAACTCTCCATCCCTGCGCGCTGCGCTCCCGGGGCCGTGTCCAGCTGGGTACCCGTTGCCATGGCAGCGCCCTGGGGCCGGGATGCCGGAGGCAGAGTGGGCCGCTGCGGGGCTGGTCCCTCTGTGCGGTGGGGAGCAGCGCTGGTGTGCTGCGGCTGCACCCCAGACCTCCGGGAGGAGGCAGAGGGGAGGGAGGGGTGTGGCAGGGCGCGGGGAGAGGGGGGAGGAAGGCTGGGGTGAGAGCGCGGGTGGGGCGCTCCCGCATTACCATCTCTCTCTCCGGCTCTGCAGCTACAAAGTCGATGCCAGCTGCGCTGCGCTGCACTGGGGGACCGAGGGAGGGAGGAAGGGAGGGAGGGAGGCTGCAGACGAGCGCGGGGAGGAGTCTGCGAGGGGAGGCGCTTGCAGGGGCTCCCCCAGTTCTGCGCTGGGAGCCCGGGCACAAAGAGCCCTCTGCACTCGCGCTGAGCCGCAGGACTGCCGACTCCGAGGTAAGCCGCCGCCCCATCCATCCTCACTGCCCCATCCAACCCTCCCCAAGCATCCTGGTCCCTAATTCCCCGGGGGCAGGCCCCAGAGTCCCAGGCAGGGGTCGGGGGTGGCCAACGCGCCTGGAGCGCCCCGGTTTGATGGAGGAAGAGACTCTCTCTCCAGCTCGAGGTGGTCAAGTGCAGCTGAGACTCCGGCTTGGGTGGGGCGCGGGGAAGGAGAACGGAAGGATGCGCCGGGCGTCCAGGGAAGGCGGGGAACAAAGACCCTCTCCCCACCCTCCTACCGGGCGTACGTGAGGAGACCCCGGATCTTGTGGGCTCACCAGGTTCGCCGGTAGCTGGCCAGGTGTTGGACAGAGCCCAGTGGTCTCAGAACTGGGGGTGTTGGACGGGGTGGCGGAGCCCCCCCCCCCACCTTTTCCTGCTCCACTCTGGGACTCAAATCCCAGAGGTCCGGCTCCCCAGAGAAGAACGGCACCGATAACGGTAACAACACATCATCGCTACATGCAGAGCTTGCTCTGTGCCAACCCCATGCGCGGAGGTGCTTTGCGTGTGTGCCCACAACCGTCCCGCGAGAGGGCGGGGGGGTAAGAACCCCATTGTAAGGATGAGAACACTGAGATCCAGAGAGGGCGAGGGACGCGTCCAAGGTCACACAGCCAGGGATCCTGAATCCAGATTGGTGGGACCCTAAAGCCCAGGTACACCCCCAAACGGGACCGGGAAGTCCCCAGAGCGCACCAGCTCCCTCCCCATCTCTCCTCTCCAACACATTCTGTCCGGAGAGGCTGGGGACTGTGCAGGGAGGGGCCAGACCTTCTCCTCTCCACCCGCGGAAGGCCCCGGGCTACAGAAATTGCCTCTTGGTCCGGGGGAGCCTGGATCCCCCACCCTCATCCCAGGCTCCAGACCGGTGGCCGCCGCGCGCTGGGAATCGCTGGCTCGCTCACCCCACTGCGGTGCCTCCGCGGGGAAAGCACCCCCACCTGCTGCTGGCAGAGGCGGGGAGGGGGGGAAGAGGCGGGGAGGGAGGGAAGAGGCGGGGAGGGGGGGGGGAAGGCGGGGTACAGTGCTGGAAACCGCTTTGTTTTCCTCCAGCCTCTGCCAGACCGCTGCCCCGGGGGGGGGGGGGGGGGGGGCGCATGGCCTGACTTTCCAAAGCGCATCCCCATTTGGGAGCACCCTGGGGGCCTCGCGACCCTGGGCCTCGGGTGGGGGCCGGGGCCCGGGGGTGAGTAACTCACTCGCTGGACGGACCTGGGAACCTGAGGACCGAGGCTAGGCGCTTGGACTTCAGGGGCGGCGCTTCCAATACGCAGGCGTCCGGGCCACGTGGCCAGGGGATGAGTCAGCAGAACTGGGTGGGGCCGGGCCTCTGGGGTGTGCTCAGACCCCTTCCCGTTCCTGGGGCAGGTGGGCAGGCCATCTGTGGGGAGAAAAGTCTCCCCTCCCCCCACACCTCCCCTCTCTTCTCCCCTCTCCCCTCCCCTCCCCTGGCCCAGAACCCCAGTACTGAGCGATTTCCTGGGAGACTCTTGGCTAGCATCAAGCTTTGCGTGGCCTTGAACTCATCCCATGCTCGGTGCAGTTCGTTAATTCCATGTTGAAAGAATTTTAAGGGTGGCATCCCCTCTGCCGATAAGGCCCACGTATTCTATGACTCAGTGACCCTGGGCATCGAGAAAGAGTCGGAAACCTTCCAGAAGCCTCTGTGGCCCTGAGCCTACAACGTTTGGTGGTTTTTACGAATCTCACACGTTTAATGAAAATGCGTGATGATGGGAGGAGATTTAGGGGGAAAAGGAAGAGAAGTCCGTAGTTCCGTCACCCGAGAATAACTTCTGGAACCCCCATTTTCATGTGCGTTCTGCCGGCGCCCGTGTCTGTTACTGGGAAGACTGGTTGAAGCTGTGCTTCTGTATTTGCTGTAATGGGTCGCAGGGGGTGAGTTTCTCAGCCGTTTTACCCGCCTTGTAAGCGGACTGGTGTTTCAGGAAGCAAACACACTCACTCTGCTCAGCTCCCTATGGTGGGACCTGCCAATTGTTTTCTTCTTTTTTTTAACTCCTTCTTTTGAAAAAATATATTTTATTGATTTTTTTTTTTTTTTTTTTTTTTTTTTTTTTTTTTTTTTTTACAGAGAGGAAGGGAGAGGAAGAGAGTTAGAAATGTTGATGAGAGAGAAACATCGATCAGCTGCCTCCTGTACACTCCCCCTATTGGGGATGTGCCTGCAACTAAGGTACATGCCCTTGACCGGAATCGAACCTGGGACCCTTGAGTCCGCAGGCCGACGCTCGATCCACTGAGCCAAACAGGGTAGGGCTGCTCCTTCGTTTTCTACAATAAGTTCTTTCCTCTGGCCCTTTCTCTCCACGCTTGCAGAGCAGAGCAGGATTATGCCCTGAACCGATCGCTCACCCAGGCAGTGCGGTGTGGTGGGAAGCGGAAGGAAGGAGGGCCACCCTGTGCTCTCCACCTGCCCTCTGTGTCAGCCTCAGGACCGAGGTCACTTCCCTTCTCGGAGTCTCAGTCTCCTTCTCTGAAAAGTGGGAATCAGAGTCCCCGCTTTAAAAAAGCTGCTGTAAGCCCTGGCTGGTTTGGCTCAGTGGATAGAACATTGGCCTGTGGACTGAAGGGTCCCGGGTTCGATTCCAGTCAAGGGCACAGACCCAGGTTGCGGGCTCAATCCCCAGTGAGGGGCGTGCAGGAGGCAGCCGGTTGGTGATTCTCTGTCATCATTGATGTTTCTATCTCTCCCTCTCCCTTCTTCTCTGAAATCAGTATAAACATACTTAAAAAAAAAAAAAAAGCTGTTGTGATGTTATGAACCAGCGTGTGTGTGTGTGTGTGTGTGTGTGTGTGTGTGTGTAAAATGCCTGACACCCAGTAGGTGCTTCATACAGACATGGCTGCTCTAGTGCACCCGCTGTGTTCAGCCTGAGCTCACTGACTCAGCCCCCAGTCTAGCACGGATAGTTATTTGCTTTTCTCTGCATTGGGCGGTTGGTTCTTGGGGTGACCCTGGGCTGCTGGAGTGTGTGTTTCTGGAGCTCCGGGCCCCATTGTGCAGGTTCAATGGCTGGTGAATAATTTAGAGCAGAGCCCTTTGTCCCCGGGGATCCTTCCTCTGTGCCTGCAGCCCGGCTCATCTGTCAGCTGGAGCTCTGAACAAAAGGCAGAGATAATCAGGGGCAGAGGCACAGGCCGGCTGAGGGCGACATCTGTCTCCCCAGCCCTCGGCCGGCTGATTGGATCAGAGTCGGCAGGTGTCCCTTCTCCCTTGTGGTGCCAGGTGGGCCCCTCCGAAGGCTGCCCCATGAGTCATGGAGGGGAGGGAGGGGTCATGGAGGGGTGTGCAGGGGTGTGGAGCAGATCATTCACAGGAACCAATGCTAGCGTCCATTTAGGTACCATTTGCCACGGTTCCAGCTGGACCCTGCCTCTTGGAGACCCCATGATGAGCCTGGGAGCTGGGCTTGGCTGATGAGAAGCGCAGGCTCAGAGAGGGGAAGTGACTAGCTCAGAGTCACACAGCGCGTTTTAGCTGGAGAGTCAGGATTTGAACTTGAACCTAGTATAACTCGGAACCGTGTGTTTGTCACTGCTACACAATACCATCTCTCCTAAAAGTGAACTCAATTGCCTCAAGTTCACAGAAGCAATTAGAGCAAACCCATCCGAGATGGTTTGACCATCGTGGTCTAGTCTCTTCACGGTAATAGTAATGCTGATGCCCACGGTGTCTGCCATGTAGGCATTCCTTCCCCAGCCTTTTCTCATTTAAGCCTCTCCCCAACCCCCTCCATTTGAATGGCAGCCTTCTGCCCCATTTGGGGTTCAACAGGCCTGTTTACAATCCATTGGCACCATTTTTTCCCCTGGGTGATCTAGGAGCAAGAAACTTTACCCCGAGCCTCAGTTTCCTCATCTGTAAATTGGGACAATAAAACCCAACTCGTCTTTTGTCGGGTGGATAAAGGTGCCCCCAATTAGTATCTGTCCTCAGGAAAGGTGAGCTTCCTTTCCTTCCCTCCTTCTGCTTTTCTCTCCTCCCCATAGCCCAGAGATTCCCTTGTGTGAGGGGGGCTTGGATTCTGACGCCCCTCTTTGTTGTTTGCCTTTGTCCAGAAACAGCGCATTCTGATCCTCCGAAGCCTCAACCCCCCTCAGCCAGTCTCCTGCGCGGCCGGCGCCCCGCCCGGGCTGATTCCCAGGAGCACCCCTCATTTCTCCGCACTCACTCATGCAAAGCAATTTAGGCCAACAGCTCCCGTGGGCCTCCGTCTCCGGGCAGCTATTTTATCCCCGAGTCAGGGAAAAACCCCTCGCCCGGAGGGACCCCAACGGGCAACCGAAGGCATGTGTTCCTGGCAGCCGCTCATTCGTGACAGGGGATGGAGCGCAGAGCTCAGGGGGAAACGGAGGGCGCCCGGGTGGTGTCAGTGAGGTTCCATAGAATGCAAGGGACAGATAGCACCATCGTCCCATTTAGTCTTCACAGCAGCCTCCCAAGGCCGGCCCTCACTGTCCCGGGTGCTGGGTAAGAAGCCAGGCCCAGAGAGGTGAGGCGCCTGCTCAGGGGGCAGAGCAGGACGGGGATCCATGAGGTAAAATCCTATTTTTCCTGGGGATTGGGATGCTCTGATTGGCACTGGCCTAAGATACCAGTCAATTTCCTGCTTGATTTCTTAAAAAAAAAAAAAAAAAAAAAAAAAAAAAAAATATATATATATATATATATATATATATATATATATATATATATATTATTTACAGAGAGGAAGGGAGAGGGATAGAGAGTTAGGAACATCAATGAGAGAGAAACATCCATCAGCTGCCTCTTGCACACCCACTACTGGGGATGTGCCTGCAACCAAGGTACATGCCCTTGACTGGAATCGAACCCAGGACCCTTTAGTTTGAAGGCTGACCCTCTCTCTATTCACTGAGCCTAACCGGCCGGGGCTTAACTTCTTTTTAAAAAAATATTTTTATTGATTTCAGAGAGGAAGGAAGAGGGAGAGAGAGAGAGAGAGAGAAACATCAACGATGAGAGCGCATCATGGATCGGCTGCCTCCTGCACACTCCCACACTGGGAATCGGGCCCGAAACCCGGGCTTGTGCCCTGAACGGGAGTCAAACCCATGACCTCCAGGCTCATAGGTCGACGCTCAACCACTGAGCCACCCCAGCCGGGCCAGTTTCCTGTTTGACTGCTGATCTGCAGCCAGAGAGATCAGTTTGTGGGCCAGGACCCCTGGCATCTATTCTCTCACGTGCCCTCGGGTGCCTGTGTGTTCCCACACACCCCCCCCCCCCTCTCTTGATGACAGGAGTTCCAGACATGGCACAAGCCCACCACAGCCCTCACAGCATCAAAGGAGTAAGCCAAGGCGACCTTTTCCTCTCTGCGCACCCATGGGGCAGCAGAGACCAGCGCCAGGCATGCACCCAGCTGGTCTTCCGTGAGATCCATGGGCGCCGAGGCTGGACTCTCCGAGGTAGGAGGGACCCCCTAGAACACTCTCTGGCGGCCAGTCCTTCCGTCAGAGCCTTCCTCCTGATTGAGGTCCCACGATGCTCCCCTGAGGGTCTCTTTACAGTAGGGGTGTCGAACTCAATCAGAGAAGGGGCCAAAATCTAAAATCCAGCCTAAATCGCGGGCCGAATGGTTTACTGAACAGTCATAAACTGTCATTGTGATGGAAACGCAGCGGAGTGCAGTGATGACAGCGCGGTGCGGGCCACATTGCAAGGCCTGGCGGGACGGATTTGGCCCGCGGGCCTTGTGTTTGACACATTGTGCTTTACAGAGTGCAGCCAGTTCCTGGGGCGGAAGTGAGAGGAGGGGATGTCTGACGGTCAAGACCACGCGGGAAGCAGCCGTGCAGATAAGTATTCCAGCGGACCGGGCCACAGCCTCCCGGCCCGGCCTGTGCAGGTCTGGGCGGGGAAGGGTAGTGTCCGGAGACCCCCAGCTGGGAGGGGAGACTGGAGATGTAGCTCCTCACTTTCCTCTCTCTCTGCCGCAAAGGAGGGGCTGGGCCCCGCTTCCTGGGGCCCCGCCATGGGTCACTCTCACCCCCCCTCCCCCCACTTTTGGCCTGGAGGTGGGTATTTTATTTTATTATTATTTAAAAAAACATTTTATCGATGTTTTACAGAGAGGAAGAGAGAGGGATAGAGTTAGAAACATCGATGAGAGAGAATCATCCATCAGCTGCCTCTTGCACACCCCCTACTGGGAATATGCCCGCAACCAAGGTACATGCCCTTGACCGGAATCGAACCTGGGACCTTTCAGTCCGCAGGCCGACGCTCTATCCACTGAGCCACACCGGTTTTCGCTGGAGGCGGGTATTTTATAAACGCCACCGGCAGGAAGTTCTGAGGAGCTGAGTTAGTTATTTCATCTCGAGAGCGCCGAGGAGCTGGCGTCAGGAGGAGGCGGGGGCCTCCCGGTGGCTGGCCCGGCCCTTCTCAGTCCTCGTCCTCTGTCATCATGTTGATAAGACTCGGCCAGGGCTCCTCTGCTTGGCAGTCACGTGGGGAACTCAGCACCCCGCCTGGAGGGCACATTCTCTGCAGGGCAGGGGGCTCAGTACCCCTGCCCCATGTCCTGGACCCGTGCCCACTCCCGGTGCTGACAGCAAGCTCTGAAAACGTGCTGATTAGCGGGGAGTCCTGCCCGGGCCTGGGAGGACCCTGGATTCTGTGTTCTCCTGCAGTGTGGTTGGCTCTTCTGTCTTCCAGGGTGGGCCGGCGGGGGTCCGCGTGGGAGCCAGGAGCTGGGCGCTGCCGGGTAAGTCTGGGTAGGCGTAGGGTTGAGACGGTCCATGGAACTTATTTCATGGCGGGAGGGGGAGCGGGGAGATTCTTCTTCACCCCAAACCCTCCCCAGGTCTGGGCCTGGCCGGACACTTGAGCTCAGGGGAGCCAGGGGGCTGGAGGCTTGCTCTGTGTGGTCTTGGTGGGGTCCGGTAGGGTTGATGGCTGAGATTTCAGCACCTTCCTTCATTCAGCGCAAACACCGACCACCGAGCCGTTCTCCCAGGCTGAGGATCCGGAGGGAACCCCAGGGCGTGGTCCTGCCCTCTCAGACCATCACGTGACCATGTGCCTGATCACAGTCTCAGCAAGGGAGTGAGCTCCCTGTCCTGGGAGGTATGCATGTGTGTGGAGGGGGGTGCTGTGGAAGGAACCCAGGCCTCCCATGGACTCTGAGGCCCTCTCTGCTCCCCGGAACCCTTGCTCCTTCTTTCTTGCTGCCCCTGGGCTGGCTCTGGGTTCCCCTTATTGCTTCTCCATCCTCCGAGCTGGCCCTCTCAAGGCGGGCCTCCACGGCTCTCCTCACTTCCTGTTCCTGGTAGCGTTTGGAGCCCTGGCCCACATCCTGTCTAGGTGTTGGGGGCACAGGAGGGCGCCCGCGCTCAGATGTGGGGTACGGTTGGGAGGCTGGGGGGCTGGGGCTGGAGGCTGTGTCCTTATCCTCTCGCTCATGCCTTCCCCAGGTGGCTCCGTGCGCGCTCAGGACGCCAGCCTGGTCTTGTCTTTGGAGCCGGGGGACCTGGCCGCTGGGACACAGGGAGCAGCCTCCGGCGGTTTTCTGGAAGCCTGGACAATTCTCCCAGGACCTTACTGGTGGATGGATAACAGGGCCCCCTGATGGCGAGTCAGCGAAATAGAAACCTGGCTAGGGAGACCAGCTGGAAGTTATAAGGGCAGCCGGGCAGCTCAGCAGCCCACCACCCCTTTCTGGGCCGTCCCATCTGGGCCTAGAGGTCACTTCCGGACCTTGGGCAGACTTGGCTCCCCCTTGAATCTCGGCTGGTGCTGAGAGGGAGTGTGGCTGGGGCAGAGGCCCTGACTGCACCCTCCTCCCCAAGACCAGGTCCCCGGGACCCTACCAAATGGGGGTGGGTGGGCAGGAACATGGGATGGGAGTGGCGAGGAGCTGCCAGAGGGAGGGAGGGCAGGCGTGGGTCCATGGGTGCCATCGCTGGCGTCTCTCTCTCGCCATTTGCTTTGTGAGTGATTCTCATTTTGGATGGGGATTTTCCAGGCCTCTCCTCTTTCCGACGGACACTGGGAGGAGGCAGTCAGCGTCTGAGAGGAGCCTGGGCCTTCTCCCCATGTTATGGGCTCCTGAGGGGCTGCTGGTGGTGAGGGTAGCTGTGTGTGTGGGGAGGGGATAGTAATTGGTGTGCGCTCCTGAAAGGAGAGGGCTGGTTCCCAAGAGAGGAGGAGACTGAGGCCGGGGGACTCGCCTGAAGGAAGGAGCCGGACACTGGGCCTCGTTCCCGTCACCTAAAGGGAAGAGGCCGGGTCTCAGACCCCTGCTGCTTATAACAAGCCTCGATCCTGCCGTGGGGGACAAAGACAGGCAGGGCAGGGCCCACGCAGGCACGCACAGGCTCACCTCCACGTCCACCTCTCCATCCCCCATCCATTCCAGCCACTTCCTGAGGGGCTGGTCCCAGTGCCCGCAGGAGAACTGCCAGGCACCAACTCTCTTGGGCAAGTTTAAAGCTAGACCTCGTTTCCCCAGGGTGGGCGGGGCCTGTGGCAGTCAACTCCAGCGGCCAGGGCAGATGGGAAGCACAAATGTTATCTCCTCACAGTTCAGAAGCTGGAAGTCCATCCGGGTGCCAGGGCTGGTTTCTCCTGCAGCCTCTCTCCTCCGCTTGCAGACGGCCACCTTCTTGGTGTCCTCATGTGGCCTTTTCTCTGGGCACACACCTAGCCGGTGCAGGTGGAGAGGGGTAAATCGGGTGTCTCTTCCTCTTTTCATAAGGGCACTAATCCTATCAGGTTAGGGCCCCACCCACCCTTATGACCTCATTTAACCTGAATTACCTCTTGAAGGCCCCATCTCCAAATAACAGTCACATTGGGGGTTATGGCTTAGACCTATGGTTTTGGGGAGGGACAAAGTATAGTCCGTAATGGGGGGGGGTCACCACACACATAAAAAGCAGGAGCCATCTCCTCTTCACCACCCCCTCCCTGGCTAGGGTGACCCTGGGTGCTCTGTGCGGCTTTGGGAGGAAGAGGAGGAGGAAGAGGAGGAGGAGGAGGAGGACGAGGAGACAGGCTAATGGCTGGTGTCCACTGGATATAGTGGTTCGGGAGCAGCTGGCCTTTGGTGGGAAGATGCTGGTGTGTGTATATGTGTGTGCATATGTGTATGTGTGTGTGTGTGTGTGTGTGTGTGTGTGTGTGTGACAGGACCCCAGCCTTCGGGAAGGGGCTGACCAGAAGCAGGCGGTTTCCAGCCAGGACAAGCAGGCTCTATTTGCAGGGGAACTGGGGTGTTTGGTGAGTGTTTGGTGGGAGGGTCTTTGAGGCCCACAGTCAAGCAGCAGCTTGGTTCTGGTGTGCAGAGGGGCTGGGAGGCAGACCCCTGCCCTGGTCAGGCCCGGCTCGCTGGCTGGTGGGGGCGGGAAGGGCCCCGGCTGCAGCCTGTGGGCCCCGGGCTGCGCTGCATGGTGTGATTAACCTACTAACCCAGGGCTGGGCTGGGACGCTGCGGCGTGTGACGAGGTGCCTGGCCTTCTGCCAGCCAACTAACCCACTAACCAGGCCCGAGCATGCCCTACTAACTCCCCGCAGCCGGACCCTACTAACCTTGCAGCTCAAGGGCCTCGAAAGGGGCTGGGATGTGGGGGCAGACCAGGCTCCAGCAGTCCCCGCCCGTGGCCCGGGATCTGTGTGCAGACCCATCTTCCGGGGCGGGGCAGGCGATAGCACTCCCCCGTTGGGCCCTTCCCGCTGGGCGACCTTGAGCAAGTCACCGCACCTCTCTGAACTCGAAGCAGTATCGTGGGCGGCCTGGTCCGTACTTCTCGGGGTTCAGGGAGGAGGCCCGTGAGGAGTAAGGTCTTGACACCTGGCAGAAACGTAAGAAAAAAAAAGAGTTGGGATGGAGGGTGGAGGGTGGGAGGCCCAGGCAACCTGGTTGATTCTGCCCCCCCTGCCCAGGCCCTGGCCCCTCTGGGTGACCTGCACACAGACCCCGCTGCCTGGGGCCACACGCTCGCTTGGAATCCCTAACCCACTTCCTCCTCAGCTTTCTCTCCTGTAGGCAGCTCTTTCGTTTGGTTACTAACCTGCCTAACCTGGGGGGTGCCTTGCGCGCACCCCGACTGCCCCTTAACAGACTAACGGACCCGCGTGTGTCTTTCCTTCTCTCCTAGTGGCTCCCGTGTGTGTGGCTGAGGTGCCCCTGTCTGCTGGTGCTGTGCTCTGACGTACTAACCCGCCCCCTACTAACACCCTCTTTTCTCTTCTTACTAACCCCAGCTCTGCCGAGCTCTGGGCCCCCCTGGGGGCTGGTCCTACCTGCCTTTGGCCCATGTGCTTGGCTGCCCCAATTGGCCGTGAGTTGAGTCCACTGGGCCGGTCTGAGGCGGGGGGGACAGCCCACTGACCACCCCAGTGGCCCGGAGGAGGAGGAGGGGAGGTCGTGTGCACCCCGGAGGCTGGCCTCTGAGCACCAGCCCCTCTCCTGGGCGGAGTCTGGTTGCCACTGGGATGGGGTGGGACCAGGGAGTCCTCGGGGGTGGGGGTGTGGAGGCCTGTGGGTCTACAGTGTGGAGCACTGGGCCTTGGCCAGCCAAGGGGGCAGAGAGAAGGGCCTGGTGCCCCTCTTTGCAGGGCAGCGCAGGTAGGATCTTCCCCTTTGGGAAGTTGGAAGGCTTGGGGGCTGCACAGGAGTCAATGGGGGGGCGGGGTCCCCACACCGGAAGTCAGTAGAAATTTTTCCCCCAAACTCGACATCACAGGTGGGTGGGGGGGGAGCATTTAGTGCAGAAAGGCAGCCAGAGGGGGCATTGCCCTATTTGAAGGAGGGGAAGAAGGGCATTTCCTACGCCAGAAGTCACCTAGAGGGGAACTTCCGCCGGAAGTAACACAGAGGGGAACTTCCGCCGGAAGTCACCAGAGGGGGAACTTCCGGCCTTAGCACGGGTGGGCCGTGGGAAGTAACGGCCAAGAGACCAATGAGAAGGGCTGCTCCTGCAACAGGAAGTGGGCTGGAGGGGCCCTTTCCCCCAAACCGGAGGCTGGGATATCCGATTCTCCCACATCGCGAGTCCATAGGCCTGGGAACTAAGCAGATCTGCCCCGGGTTTGGAGTTTGCAGGAGGACCTGTGGGAAGCAAGACGTGAACCCCAGGGCCCCTGCAGGGCCCTGCAGTCCCTCAGGGACCTGCAGCTCCCCCCTGGCTTCCTGCGCTGCTCCTACCCACACCCTAGGCCCCGCCGGCCTCCCCCAGAGCCCGCCAGCCGCTAGGCCAGGCCACACCTGGGGGTGATGGTATGCCTCACCTCCAGGAGGCACCTTGGTCTCTTTGGGCTGATCTCTGACTCCCTCGCACTAACTCTTCCTCTCACCCAGCTAATCCTGGCCTTGCCCTGGCTGCCCCTCCACCCCTCGCAGGGGGCTGACTACTCACTAACAGCCAGCCCTGTCCACCTGGGGGGCTCCAGGCGCCTGGCCTGGCTCTGACCGGCTCTTCATTAACCTCTCCTTCGCCTCCACTAACTCCTGCCCTCCCAGTCTGTTCCTTCCAGCAGAAACTAACGGCTTGTGGATTTCCTTCTGACTAACAGCAGGTCTAACTCTCCTGGCTACCGTTACTATGAACAGCTTGGATGCTGGCATGGCTGGGGCGGGGCTAACCCACGTTTGACAATGTTGACTGACACAGGGAGAGGTGTAGCTAGTAGTAATAGCCTTGGACTTGGGTGACTGCTCTGGGTCAGAGCCATCTGCCGTCAGTAAAGACCAGGGAACCCCCAAAAGGGAGGCGCAGGGCTGGGTTTGTGGCTCAGGGTTCATGGAGGAGAGGTGTCCATGGGGGTGGGGTCTGGAGCACAGTCAGCCTTGCGAGGTATTGGCCATTGGACACATTCTATAAACCCTGATAATCTGCATTTGAGTTGTGGTCCTTTTGAACAATAGTCTCATAGCTGCAATAGTCAAAATGAGTGGGCGCAGCATTTTTAGTCCCCCCCCCCCCCCAAATGCCTCTCTGGTGTGTTCAGAGAGGCATGTGCTATGACATATGAAATCGTCCATCACCAGCCCAAGGCCTAAAGTCCTTGATTGGGGGACATTTCAGTTTTGAGAGCCCTAGGGCGTTACACTTTGGAGTATAATATTCAGAAGTGGTGTAAATCCATCGCCCATTTACACCTTAGTGTGAATTAGCCCAGCCTTTGCTTCTAAAGTCTATGCAATTTAGTTGCTCTGAGATGATGGGGGCATCTGGCTGGAAGGGCTGAGGAAGGGTCCTTCGGGGGCAGAGAGGGAAAGCCACAAGGCCAGGGGTTCCTGGGAGAGGCTGGGGATTTGGGGGGGGGGGGGTGTGTGGCATCAAGTCGAGGTGGTCATGGGAAGAGGGACCAGTTTTGCTGGCTCCCTCCGGTAGTCAGGGTCTGTGTGTGGGAGAGGGCAGCTCATGCAGGGCCTGGAGGATGGGATCAGCTGGGGGACGGTCAGAGGCTGGCCTGGAGGCCTGGCGGGCAAAGCGCTCTGGTCACTGGATGCTGGTCTGGGCTGAGAGCCGCTTCCAGCAGTCACAGACGCAGCCGAGGTAACCAAGTGGCGCTGGCAGCGCAGTGAGGCCCGGGTGTGTTGCAAAGGGAACCAGAGGGGAGAGAGCGCACCAGGAAGAGCTGGTGGACGGTGCAGGGGCTGCTGGCAGCACTGGGGCTGGGCTGGCGTCTGCGCTGGGGAAACCCATGCCTGCTGCCCTCTGGTGGCGGCCTTGCCCCATTTCACTTAAAGCAGGAAGTGCAAAACTTTCCATTCTGGGAAACTCCTCTTGATTGAACTAGTACATAGATTTGACACTGCTGAGGACCTACTATGTGCCAAGCACTGCTCTGGGTGCTGGGAAGAGGAGCTGATTCGAGATCCCGTCACCCCAGGGCCCCCGTGGTATGGTCAAGCTGCAAGTCTGAGTCTCGTTGGAATGGAGCCCTTTGTGGGGGGAGAGGGGCGGCTGCAAGCGGGGCTGCAAGTGTGGAGGAGTGAGCTTCCGAGAGGCTGAGCTTGGCCCTGGGGAGGGAAATGTGACTTGGTGGGCAGTGGACCTGCTGTCCCCGGAGACAGGAAAATGGGACTAGGCCACCGTAGAGACTGATGACGGCATTGTGTGCGTCTGTCCTTGATCTAGTGTCCTCCAACTCCCAGCCGGAGCCTGCTGGTGTTCGCTCTGGCCTTGAGTCCCCTGAACCCAAGCGCCTTAGGTTCTCATGAGCTGGGAGCTGGCCACCCAGTTTGAAAAGAAAGGGTCCTAATCTTCCAATAGGCAGCAGGAGGGAGGGGCCGCTGTGGGCCCTGCGTGAGGGCTGTGACGTCACACGTGCTGACCTATTGAGTGTGTGTGTGTGGGGGGGATGGCCGCCCGGCGTGGGAACTGGTCTCATCCCAAACCTAGATCCCGGAGGCCCCGTTGAAAGCCTTTTCCGGGACCCGTTGCTTTACTCCGACAAACCAGAGAAGACGTTCTCCGTCTCAGCATCCACCCCCCAGCGCCCCCCCCCCCCCACTTCCCCGGGGAGGCAGAGCGTGGGGGGACAGGAATTCTGCTGTAGATGAAAATCCCGTTTTTACAAGGATCCAGCAATGGCGTATGAACGGGGCTCTTTGTCTTCTCCCATAAATGTCCCATCTTCTGTGTAAACACCACCCTGATATTAAAAGCAGATTCGCACCCAAAGGATGACTGTTTCTTAGCTGGCGAAAGGGATGCATAGTTGGGGGAGGGGGAACCAGTGGATTTTCAAGGAGCAGGAGTGGGCTCGGTCGGCCCGTCTTTCAAGACCAGCACCTTCTAAGTCAATACAGTTGGGTACTCTTATTTTCAATCGTGGGCAAGGGCACATACCATAAAAGTTACCTACCTTCATAATTTCAAGTGTACGATTCAGTGGCACGAAGTGCATTCACACTGGGCTGTGCAACCATCATGCAGAACCACGCTCAATAGCTATAATAATAAAAGCATAATATGCTAATTAGACCAGACGTCCTTCCTTACAACCTTCTGGACGAAGCTGAGGCAAGCCCCCCTTGCACGAATTTCATGCATCAGGCCTCTAGTTTATATATAAAAGCCTAGGCAACCGTTATGACTGGTTGACTGCTATGACATGCACCGACTACCAGGGGAAAGATGCTCAATGCAGGAGCTGCCCCCTGGTGGTCAGTGCACTCCAACAGCCTGAGGATCAGACAGGGCACCTCCTGTGGTTCCTACCCCTGGCTGGCCCTGATTGCCCCAATCAGCACTGGGTGAGATGGCCCCAATTGGCCCCGATTGCAGGCCAGGCCGAGAGACACACCTGTGCACGAATTTGTGCACCAGACCTCTAATATATATATATATTTAATAAGACCAGTTGGTGCCTAGGACAGTTCTTCAAAGAAAAGTGGGTTTGGGAGGCTTATACCTAATTGGGAAGGCAAAGAGCTCTTTGGTGACAGGGAAATAGGTAGAAAGAGTTTAGGGCGTGGTGATGAAGGGCTGGCAAATACACGGCACACACATTGCTACCCTCCCTTCCAGCACCCATGGCAGACATTGCTAGATGATCACCTATCTCTCTTGGGGAACCTGGATGCATCTTCAGGATCTTTCTGAAGCCCAGCCTGCTGGGGTCTTTTTAATGACTTTGAAGTCAGTCCTAGGATTGAGCTTCCTGAGAAACTTGGTCTGAGTCCTAGTTTGCCACTTACCTGTGGTGAGCTCTTGGGGCTAACTTCCCTTCTCCTGGCCTCCACGGGCTCTGGAAGGTGGGGACAGCGCTTCCTGGAAGAAATGACACACAAGCAAAGCTTTGAAGGAGGGGGACAACTTGTCAATGGAAATAAAATAGCCGATGCTGCTCCAAGGTCCATCAGGCCAGTTTTATGGGAGATGGAGATGTGGATGGTGGGCACTCTGGAGGAGGTCAAGGTGGCCAAGCCAGAGCTGCAGTTCTTAGGCACGGCCAGAAGGTGGCAGAATTGCACCAACACCACCTCTTAGAAACTGGGGTTACACTCTGGGTGTCTCTGGGGATGCTCTATGGTGGATACTCTTGGGCTTCCAGAGTTTTATGTTTTATGCCATTGGGTAGGGGATTTGTTAGGACGTGGCATGGACTGGGGAAGGGAAGAGGCTGGAGAGCATGCAGCTGAGAATAGCATCTCTGAGGTCTCTGTGCTTAAGCCAAGCCAGGTGACTTCCCTTCTCTAAGCCTCAATTTTCTTCTCTGCGAAATGGGCCAACTTTGACTTTGGCTTCGATTTCATTATGCTTCTCCTGGTAAGGAACACTTCGCTTTGACCACACTGGTGATTCTGGCAACCAGGGTCCCCTCATGCTCTCCTCCTGAGGTCTAGAAGATTCCAAGAACCAGCGGACGCTGTGAGCTCTGCCTGTAGGCAAGACCATTCCCCCTCCTTCTACCTCCAAACCCCTTGCCTTGGCCCACCGGGGTTGACATAAAAGGGCTGTTGCCACTTCCTGAGTACCTACCGTGTGCCAGGCTCTGTACCACCTGGTTCGTACATGTTGACTCATGAAGCACTCAGAAGAATAGCGTTGCCATAGGTAGCCAGTTATGAACAAGGATGGACACAAAGGGAATCGAACATGGAGCTAGCACCGTGCTTTCACAGGGCCAGAGGTCAAGAAGATGATGTTGAATGAACGAAACTGGGAGCCAGTGGAGCCTCGGGAGTGGGATGTGCCCA